CAAAGCCCCATGATCTTTCCTGGGCATCAAACTGCCTACTATGAAATAGCAACCTTGATCCTCTATTGGATAATTTTAACAATATACTTCATATCTCAATCCAATACACATTTCATAAACACTGAACTTAATAAACTTAAATTTGCAAATTTTCAGACACAGAAATATGTTTCCAAATAGTATACTTTCCAAAAAAAGAAAAAAGTAATAGAATGAGTTTGTAAAACAATTAAATATTTTTATTCAAGATAATAAAGAACACCCACTGAGTCACTATGGGTATTCAAGGGCAATGACAATAGTCTGTGTTGGTTTGAAGATCTATTTCACTAAGTAGTTCTGCTGTCAAGCTGCCATCTAAAATCCAGGTTTGTACCCATAGACCCAGGCCGCTCTAGTCCGTGGTCAGAGAAGCTCCTCTTTGCACTGAACAGCAGTCAATGGAGAGATGCCTAACCGGTCTGGGAATAAGACACTGAATGCTCAGCCCTAAACAAGACACCTATATCAACACTCCCCACCACCACCAAGGTTCAGAGAACACGATGGAAGACTAAGCAAAAGGAAAATGTAAGAGCCAGAGGATGGAGAAGAGTGCTGTGAAATGTCATCTGGAAAAGACATGGCTATCATACTCATGAACTCACAGTTATGGCTGCCAGCACAAGGGCTGCATGAGACCAAATCAGTCAAAATTCAGGCACAGATGAGATCAATGTTCTCCAGATCTTACTCCTTAATGGGGAGCTATTGGCAGCTGAGTTTGGGGGGAAAGGAGAATCATTCTTTTGGGGGATGTGACCACAGATAGGATTTCCATGCTCCCCTGGACGGCCCCACACCCATCCACAAATGAGCAACACTAACTGGACTTAGCGGGTTAAAAAAGAGACAGGAAGTTAGGAGGAGGATATGTTGGGAGATATGGGGGAAGATGAAGAGGTGTGTGGAAGCCCAGCTGGGAGACCAGCTCCCATATTTTACCCCAGGGTTCTCTTGAGGAGTGAGGGATAAAAGATTTAGGTAGAAGGATAGAGGAGAAACACAAGATAGCCTTAGAAGGGCCTGGATCCTTATCCACTGGCCCCTTATGTCTCTTCTAAAGGGCTATTTATGAGAATGGCCAAGGGGTGGAACAAAAGATCTCTCCCTAGCTCAGTCAAGTGTAGACCCTTCCAATCACCTAGAAACCATGCACATGGTCAAGCAATCCTCTAATGCAGCTCTGCTGGGTAAAGCAAGCTCAGATCTCACTAGGAAACCTTTGTGGGCCTCCCCTGAGGTGAAACAATGGGTATATATGAACATACTTCATTGTATACATGCATGAAATTCTCAAGAATAAAGAAAAACAAAAGCTGTTGAGTAAATAGTTATTGAATTTATCATGTGCCAAGAAATATATACTAAAGTCTATATAAAGACAAATAGTTTCCTGCTCTAGAAATGAATAAATTCTAGTAGGAGAAATAGACATGATCAAATCATTAAGACACAGTCTGGCTGGGCAGGAGTGGCACACACCTCTAATGCCAGTACTCAGGAGGAAGAGGCAGAAAGATTTCTGGATTCAAGGCCAGCCTGATCTACAGAGTGATTTCGAGGACAGCCAGGGCTACCCAGAAAAACCCTGTCTCAGAACCACTCCCCACCAAAAAAAAAAAAAAAAAAGGTTCCGTCTGATACATGATAGAGAAAGAGCAGCACACAAAATGTTGTGGGGCACATGACACCTTTTCTCAGAGATGGATTCTTATATTAACAATTTTTAATTTCCTAATTCATCATCTTTAAAACACATTTTATTAAAATCCTTCAACAAGAAGCTGGAGAGCTGGCTCAATGGCTAAGAGCTTTATTGGCTCTTCCAGGGAGCCTGAGTTTAATCCCCAGTACCCAAAGGGCAGTTCACAACAATCTGTAACTCCAGTTCCAGGGATTCCGATGCCCTCCTCTGGCCTCTGTGGGCACTCAGTACACGGGTAGTACACAGACATGCATGCAGATAAAACACCAGCATACAATTTAGAAAATAAAATACTTCAACAAAAATTACTGAAGACTCGGTAATATTTCATGTATAGTAGGGTCTTCCTTCCCTAAATCCCACTATGATAAGTACACAGCATGAATCAATATACTAAAATTGTTGATAGAACTAAACTGAATTATTTACAAAGCCAAAAAGTTACTATCAGTGCCACATTTTGTTTTCTCCAAAACAAAATTATTTTTTATAGAAATCTCACTTAATCCAAAGTAATATAGGCTTTAGAACTCCTCAAATCATCCTAATTTCTTAAAAACCAGTTTGAACAGCTTCTATCAAATCGTCTGCATGATTTTAGTTCAACCAAACAGCAAAACAATTTCTGAAGCCAGAGGTAGGTGCTGGATACTGCTTTCATTTGAGTTAATTAAAAGTATTTGATCCACTATGGTGCAATTCAGTGTAAGATCTTTAAAAGAATCGATTAGTCAGTGCAAGTTTCAGATAACACCTAATCTAAATGCCAGAGCTTGTGACTGGATTTTTATCAAGCTCTGGCTATTAATTATTGATTTAACTAACAGGAGAAAAGGTGGTTTTCATTTTCTATACTGGTACTTCAATAATAGACAAGCTGTTATTAAAATCAGCATCAATTCCGATTGCAAGATATACCAAAACTTTTGTGAACACTAAGTAGAAATAGACTAATTAAGGGCATTTTAAATACCAAATGTTGAGAGACCTAGTAATGCCGGTTCTTGGGAGAGAAGACATATAAATCTGGTATACTGTTTCCTTAATGGCAGCTACTAGAATATTATAAATGAGAATGAAAGAAATCCTACGTTCTTTTGGTAGATACATTTTGGTAGCCTCTTCTTGATGGGTTACTAGCAATCTGAGCCCTATGAATAAACTATCTATGCAATATGAGTTTAGAGGTACCAGATGGCTCCAAGCCCCAAATCTCTTCTTCCTACCCCAACACTGGCTAATGGTTAGAATTATCTGAGGGTACTCTCAAACATCATTAATGCTGTACCTTCCTTTCCAACGATTACTAGTTTAGTCTGGGTGTCTGTTTTGATGGTGGTGATGGTTATTGTTTAGTTGATGGACTGACTTTTGGTTACTCAGAAAGGAACAGAGACAAGATGCCATTTAGAAACTAAAGGCATAGTTTGTGAAAGCCCAGGGCAGCAAAGAGTTCCCACTGGACCTCCAGTGGACTGCAAACCACAGCTTACCCAAACAGATGCTGACACTAGAAGGAAAGGGAGCAGCACTTCTAGGGGAAATTTTCATTTTACCACCACCAACAGTGGTAAGTCCTGAAGATTTTATGTCACAAATAGGCTCAGTGAAGTTTTCCACAATATGGTATAAAATAAATTCTCTAAAATAAATATTAAGGGCCAGAGAGATGGCTTAGTGGTTAAGATCACAGGCTGTTCTTCCAGGAGACCAGGGTTCAATTCCCAGCACTCACATGGTAGCTCATGATGGGCTGTAGTGACAGTTACAGAGGATCTGACACCCTCTTCTAGTCACAGCAGGCACCAGACACACACACGGTGCACAGACATACATATAAGCAAAATATCCATACACATAAAATAAAACAATAAAGAATTTTATTTTTTAATGCAATAAAATAATTATTGACACAGAAAATTCTTCTTATTTGCAAACTGAGACAACAAAATAAAAGGTCCATTCATAAAAACACAAAAGTATATTATTACTAATTTTATTATGCTGTTGTTGTTAATTTCTGTACTGCTGGGGACTGAATACACTAGTTGAAACACTGCACACTAGGAAAGAGTTCTACTCCTGAATTATACCCTAATCCCAAAAACAACATTTTTAAACTATTGGAGGAAGTTATTTCAATGTGTGTTTATATGTACTGAATTGAAACTATACAAATAAATCCACAAGGAAATAATTCTACTACTCTTTTTACAGGTCCTATTTATTTTTCTACTCCTTAAGAAAATGAAGAGCAGACTTTCACTTTATGTCTGAAAATAAGATAAAGCGCCTAAAGTAGAGGTTCAATTTTAAATAAAACCACCTACCTCCTGCCCTCCCTGCCTCATGCACACTCACTAGACCTCTGAATTTACATACCTAGTGACCTCCTGCCCTCCCTGCCTCATGCACACTCACTAGACCTCTGAGTTTACACACCCAGTGACTAGGTCTACCAGGTGTTCTCTGTAAACATTTTCATTATTTTATATATAAATAAGACACCAGAAAACAATAAAATATGTCCATTTTAGCAGTCTCATAGATGGTTGAGCAAACTTTGTCTAATTCTACAGATACTGTTCTTTCTTTAAAATGTGCTGTGATATTGGTAAAAATGACATTTCTCATTTAAAATAACTATTTTATCAGATATAGTTTTTTGTTATTCATAAAAAAAACCTTATAAAAAATATTGATACTGATAACCCTGAACACAAGGTGGAACCACTCAGTTCGTTACTATAAACAAACACAGCTTCAATGGCTTCTAGTGCTGAAACAGTTGCACCTACTGAAATGACACAGAGCCACGAGAGACTAAGACGAAGGAAACACTGGCAGATCTACAAACAACATGTTTTTCCTATTTTTCCATTTGGAAAAATAATGAACATTACACACCTGAAATAAAATTTTTTAGACAGCATCTCATTATGTACCCTGCCAGGCCTGGAACTCTCTATGTAGACCAGACAGGCCTCAAAATCACAGAGATTTGCCCGGCTCTGCTTCCCAGTACTGGCATCAAGGGCAAGCACAGCAACACCCAGGGAAACTGTTTCTTTTCTTTTTTTTTTTTCCTCTGTATCGTTCCAATTTTATTTATTTATTTATTTATTTATTTATTTATTTATTTATTTATTTACAAAAGCTACAGGTTTGTTAACATAATATATTCTAATGCTTAGAAAAGTTTTAAATAAGTCAATCTAGGGCTCAAACAAGAATTCACAATATTCAGTTTTAACTAAGAAGAAAATGGTGACTGGGGACCCTGCATGGACGTCTTCAGAGTGAAGTCCCCAAGCTCATTTGGGGGGGCGGGGGTTGTGTTGATGCCATACTTCTCCTTGAGAAGTTTCAGCTGCTCCTCCTTCTTCTTGGTGTCCATCTTCTGAAATGCCCGGTTAGCATTATAATACACCACGAGGTATCTGTTACACATGTTGAACCCGGATAGATGGTCGCATGCATTCTTAGCATCAAAGATGTCTTCGTAGACCACATCGGCTGTTCCTCTGGTCTCAGGTGTATTCCCTACTCTGATTTGACAAATAGACCCATATTTCCCAAATATATCACACATTTCTTCCACTGTGATTTTGTGTGGCAAGTTCCTTATATACAAAATCCAATTTACTTCAGGTGGGAGGCGAATATTTGCCCTCTTGGCCGCTTGCTTCGCCATCTTAGCGGTGATTTAGAGTTAAAAGCAAAGAATCCTTTTTTAAAAAAAACTTTATATCACTGAAAGAATTAAACTTACACACTGAAGATGTACTGGGGATTTGCTTTTCCCTGGAGTTCTTAATTCCAATTTGACTCCATTTTACTGTGGGATGGTCTGTATGTCAAATGTGTTGCTGATTGGTCAATAAATAAATCACTGATTGGCCCGTGGCCAGGCAGGAAGTATAGGCGGGACAAGGAGGAGAATAGAGCTGGGAAGTGGAAGGCTGAGAGGAGACACTGCCAGCCGCCATCAGGACAAGCCACGTGGCAAGGTATAGATTAATAGAAATGGATTAATTTAAGCTGTAAGAACAGTTAGCAAGAAGCCTGTCACGGCCATACAGTTTGTAACCAATATAAGTCTCTGTGTTTACTTGATCGGGTTTGAGCGGCTTGGGACTGGCGGGTGAGAGAGATTTGTCCTGGCTGTGGGCCAGGCAGGAAAACTCTAGCAACAAATGGCGCCCAACGTGGGGCAAGAGTTTCCACCTAAAAACTGAGAAAAAAGATTCTAAAACGGAGCTAAAAACAGCTTCCTAATTGTCTCTCTCAAATGAGCGGCAGCTGCTGGTTTGAGCTACTGGCGGGTTCCTAGCGTGCGCGCTCGACCTGCAGTATGGCAGGAATGAGGCCTCTGCAAATGGCACATTAAGCTGCTTGATGGATTTAGCCTTTGCTAGTACAAAACAAAAAAAAAAAAGAGGTTTCTGGGCTACATGCTACTTGGATAAAAGCATAGACCCACGATGGCTCCCAGAGCTGGCGGTAAGCATACCGCCACCATGTTGGGAAGCTGAAATGGGCGGAGCCAGCAGCCACAGCACCAGCGCCGTTTCAGGCTTAGAAGGCTGCAGTTCAAAGCAATAGGCTCAAGCTAATATAAAAAAATAAGCCACGTAAAGATGGCTACCACACAAAAAATCTGGATTATGTTCTCTTTGATATTCGTAACTAAAGAAAAACATTTGATTACAAAAGCTGTTGAGTTATGCCAAAATGTATATTTTAAAGGTACCTTGACTTCAAAATTTGGATATAAGGATATGTTGCTTTGGAAAGGAGATTCTGCTTTTGTTTCCACAGAAAGCCAGAGGCTATGGATTTGTTCCAGATTAAGACACATCAGGTTTGACCAGCCAAGACCCCCTGAAAGGTCTCCAATGACACCATGGCCCAGATGATCCAACATCCAGAACCGTTTCAAGGCAACTGGCTCAGACGATACACCCTCATGGACTACTCCATAATCCTAAAATATTCTTTATGCCCCCATAAGATACAGCGCCCCCCTCCAGCAGAAAGTAGTAAGAGAAGCTACGCCCAAATTCCCAAATATACCAAGCTGACTTTGGAGATATGTAAAGGTTAAAACCTTCCTTTTTAAGAAAAGAAAAGGGGAAGTGCTGTGGGATGGTCTGTATGTCAAATGTGTTGCTGATTGGTCAATAAATAAATCACTGATTGGCCCGTGGCCAGGCAGGAAGTATAGGCGGGACAAGGAGGAGAATAGAGCTGGGAAGTGGAAGGCTGAGAGGAGACACTGCCAGCCGCCATCAGGACAAGGAAGATGTAAAGTACCGGTAAGCCACAAGCCACGTGGCAAGGTATAGATTAATAGAAATGGATTAATTTAAGCTGTAAGAACAGTTAGCAAGAAGCCTGTCACGGCCATACAGTTTATAACCAATATAAGTCTCTATGTTTACTTGGTCGGGTTTGAGCAGCTTGGGACTGGCGGGTGAGAGAGATTTGTCCTGACTGTGGGCCAGGCAGAAAAACTCTAGCAACACCATTTTTTTCCTTCATTCTGATTTTTGTAATTATAATCCAAAGAGATCAGAAAGAAAGAAAAAATGGAGTAGTGTTTTGCCTGCATGTATGTCTGTATACCACATGCATGCCTGGTACCCATGGAGGCCAGAGGAAGGTGCCAGATACTCTGAATCAGCAGTTACAAATGGTTGTAAGCCACTATGTGGGTGCTGGGGATAAAACCTTAGGCTTCTAGAAGAGTGGTGAATGTTTTTTGAGCCCTCTCTCCAGTCCCTGTGTCATTTATGTTCACATAACTGCTACATTATGTTCACATAATAGTCATCATTTTAAAAGCAGACTTCCTAAACTCAAACCCGGGCCCATCTACTGCTTACTGTTTCTTTAGGAAAGTTGCTTATCCCTGTGCCTCAGTTCCTTCAACTACCAATGAAAATAGAAATAACATGGACCTCACAAGATTGCTGATAATCAAATTAGTTGATATATGCTTAAGCAATTAGACCAGTGTCATACAAAAGCATTCAATGAATATTTGTTATATTATCACCATAATACTTTTAATTTTTTTTTTAAAACTCAGCTGATTTCCAAAACCTCCATAGTTTCTTTGATACCATTTTTGCTTATTTTTAAATGCATATTAGTTGGTTTATATTTACTTGATTTGAATTTCGAATACACTTTTTTGTTTTTGGTTTGGTTTGGTTTGGTTTTTTGGTTTTTCAAGACAGGATTTCTCTGTGTAACAGCCCTAGCTATCCTGGAACTGGCTCTGTAGACCAGATTGGCCTCAAATTCACAGAGATCCGCCTGCCTCTGCCTCCCAGGTGCTGGGATTAAAGGCATGCGCCACCACACCTGGCTTCAAATCCATTTCTTAACAAATAAACCTAAATGAATTGGCTTAAGGTAAGATTTGAATGTATAAAATGGTTCAAAAAGAGTCAGATTTTAGAAAATTCAAAGTGCTATACAAATTCTAAAAGGTCATCTCTGTTTCTTCCCTCTCTACCCCAGCATATGCCTATATCTGGCAGCTTTATCCTTCTGAGACAAAATAACTCTTTACTGAACTTTAAAACACTTTAATCAGAGCAGATTCCAGGTGGGCACAGTGATGCAAGCCTCTAATTCCACCATTCAAATGAGTGAGACAGAAGGATCATGATTCAAGGCCAGCTTGATCTATGTGGCAAGACCATTTCTAGATACACACCCAGCGACTTCTCCCTCCGTACTAAAATTTAGAGACAGTGTAGTGAAAAGAGTGTGGTATCAGGGAATGCAGATCTGGAGTAAAATTCTTGCTTTCACTCGCCAGCTGTTTAACTACAGGAAAGTTTGCTCAGTTTGAACTTTTGTACCTCAGCTGGGAAATGCAGCTGCTGCTCATCACGCATGGTTGTTACAGAAAAGTAGGTTGTAAGCTTTATAAAGCATCAGTAACAATGTAACTCAAATCTGTAAGCTTTATAAAGCATCAGTAACAATGTAACTCAAATCAAAGCTGTAAAGAGAGATATGCACAGATAATATGTCTCAGAATTATGTCACATGATCACAGCATTGAGGCAGAAATTGGATGAGGAGAAAAATGATAGGGAAAACTAAACTAAGGAGTTTGAATAGCTATTTGGAATTTGAAAATAATGGATGAATAATTCACTTAAAAATATTCTTGATACTCTTGGATTCTGATCTCTAAATTTACTACATAAAAATACAGTTTTGAGTTGTATTTTGCTTTCATTGTAGATTTTGTGGTGAAGAATTAATTTCTTAAAGCCAACATTTACAATTTTCTTATCAAACCCCGTCATTACAGATGGGCAGATGGTAACTAGTATATAAAGGTAGTCCATAAAATTTCACAAAAGTTCTCTTATTATTACCAACTAAGAAAGAATACATTATGACAAAATTAAGTAAGAAATTATCTGTTTGCTTATTTTGTGTAAATCCCTGAGATTTATTCCAGTGAGACCAGTAAGCAAAAGAATGAAATTAAAAAGGCAGAAGGCCACAGTGTCATGAACGCTGTTAAAGTATTCGATAAAAACTATCCACTTGAGGTTCATTGCAACACACCGGAAAAACATGATCCTCCCATAGTTAGACACAAGTAATAGCAAGCTAAACACTCTGGAAAAGATGTGATACCATTATACAACACACAAATTTATTTTATTATTGCTATCTTTGTGGCCTATAGCATTAGTACTAAATTTTGTTTGATGTACATGTTATAATATTTGGAAATGCTCTGATTATTCTATCCTATATAGCAAGATGTCTGATAAAAGTCATCAAACAATTCCTCAGCTTGGTACTAAAAACTAAATCTTAATTCTCCTAATATTTTTTAAACAAACAAACTAACACTTGAATCTTTTTTCCAGGATTTTTCTTTTCAAAAATTTCCAAGTTCTTTCTGGTGGATATGTAAGATAAGGCACATATTGTCAAGAATAAGTTGTCAAAGTGAATATGAAATGTGCTTCTCAAAATATCATTTACACATTTACCAGATGGTAAAATAAACATGTAAATTGTTATCATGTATACACCAAGTTTGTATTAAAATTTTACACACCGCAGGAAGGGTGTAAAAATTGTCACATATTGTATTACTTGTTCACTTAATAGTTTATTAGCATCTCATAAATATTTTCTTTAAGAAAAATATTATTTAAATGGTCAGAGAATTCATATGCTGCTAATCAGAGCCATATTAAGTTGCAAAAATCCCTAAAAAATAAAAAATAATCAATCTTTCTGTTTAATTAGTTAAATACAAAAGAACATTGAAAATAAAATAAAATAGATCCATAAGAGATTTGTGAGATTCCAAATTATAAAGCTAATTAGAGCACAGCATGGTGGCCAGCCTTTAATCCTAGCACTGGGGATACAGAGGCAGGCATAATCTCTGAGTTCCAGGCCAGCCAAGGCTACATGGAGAAACCCTGTCTCAAAAAAAAAAAAAAGGAAGAAAGAAAAAGAAAAAAGAAAGAAGAAAGCTATCAGCTTAATGAAACACAGACTTACATTGAAGATTACCCAGAACATTCAAGGTTATAGAGAGCCCTAGTGTTAACAAATACTACAATAATTTGAAGTAATAAATATCAACAAAAATAAGAATATTAAATCTCTGTTAAGTTTCTATCTTTTTGTATC